CCAAGAGCAATGCGAGCAGGTATACAGGACGCCTACGTTGCCCACACCTGTTAGTGTGTGATAGGGGAGAGGCAGGAGGGATGTTCAGTATGAAGGGGACAGGCTCACTGCCTACAAGGAATTTATATTTTTGCATCTGTCTGAACTTCCAATACCCTTTTTTTTTTTAAGATTTTATTTATTTGACAGAGAGAGAGAGATCACAAGTAGGCAGAGGCAGGCAGAGAGAGAGGGGGAAGCAGGCTCCCTGCTGAGCAGAGAGCCCGATGCGGGGCTCGATCCCAGGACCTTGAGATCATGACCTGAGCCGAAGGCAGAGGCTTTAACCCACTGAGCCACCCAGGTGCCCCCCAATACCCTTTTTTAATGTAACGCTTTAGTTCCCCCTTCTCTTTGCCCCATAAAATCAGGGCTTCTTTATATCTCCAGAATGCCATTCTCCATCTTATACATGTTACCCAACTTTGGGTCTTTTTCCTTGGAACGGCCATTTTTGACCCAATTCCATATATTATCTTTCCCGAAAGGTTATTTCCTTGCCCTGAGGACCTTCACCCAGCCTTCTTTCCGTTTTGTTACCAATCAACTGTTATCTTTCAACCTAGAGACATTCAAGATAAGATCCGGTACCTGACTAAAGGTGAACGACACAAACCAGATTTAGTTTTGTACCCCACCGTCCTAAATGCCAAAAACTAGACAAAAATTGAGAGAAGCTAGTTTTCCATCAACAAAGAATGGTTAGTAAATTTGGGGGTTAAATTTTTGCATAAACTATTGTCATGTCAAGTAAAATCCTTTCATGATCTTGGGTTGTTAACAGTGTTAACTGCTGAGAAATGACAAATAGCAAGGTCTGTACAACAGTGAAAATAGATTATTTCCATTGCTAGCTACTGACGGAGACTGAGGGTTATAAAGAGAAAGCTTTACTACTCCAACTGGTTAGAGTTAAAAATAAAGTTTATTTGCAAGTCATCAGACCGTGTTCCTGGAAACACTACAGTCTACCTCGGTTCCCCGAAAGTTGCCCCATCACACACCATCCTGAGCCAACGACGGTGTCTGCGTGTGGCAGTCTGGCCCCCAGGCGACATGTACGTCTGTCCAGAGGATGGAGATAAACAGGCCGGCAGAAGAACTGAGAGCTCTGTCGGCCCCAGCATGAGCGAGACACTGGCCAGGCTGCAGAGTCCCCACCTCCGACTGCGAGAGTTTAATCCTCTCGGCTCCTTGCTACCCCTTTTCTTATAGGTGGTCCCAGGAAACTTCACACACACACACACACACCCATATCAGACTGCGGCAACCCGGACGCGGGCACTGCGTTCCAGCGGACTCGTAAGAAGAGGTGGCAGTACGCCGGCCAGCCAGGGTGACGGTGGGGAAGGGAAGCACCTGCGTGTGTGGAGACGGACCTGGGGAGCACCGTGAACGCTGCAACGTGCTGCCAGTGGGAAAATGACTCTGTTTTTAACACTAACGGAGGCTACGGAAATGAACGGCTTGACGGTGTTCCTCTGCTAATGAATTATGAACTGAGACTCTCGGGGGACCCAGAGCTCAAAAGCTGGGAGTACCAAGCCCTGTGGGTCCCCGTGGGTCAGTTTATTCTGGAACACACTGAAACTGGCTAATTTATGAGGCCTTTAAAGCGCCATATTAGAAGAATGACCATTGTATAAGAGGGCAGGGGGAAACTCTGCTTTGATAATCTGACAGCTGAAAATGAACATCTCATTTCCCCTAATTCAGTCTTGGCTGCCTTGAGCCAAGTTTTCCCTTCCTCACCACCCCCTTTGCAAACCAAATGGAAGGGCTGTTCAGAGCTAACTCCTTGATCTTAAATACAACGGGAGTGAACAAAAAGATCTTTCTCACCAGCACACAAATCTTCACAGTAGCTGGGAAGCGGGCCCATCCCCCCCACCTCCCTGAGCTCCGCCCGCCGAGGCCCACGGGTGCAAGAAGACAGGAGCCTGACTGTGCAGGCCGAGGGGGCCTGAGCGCCACAAAGGCTCCGAAGGCCTCTCCAAGGCATGGCATCAAGGGGTTCCCAACTTAGAACCACTGGGGTCGGCCGCTATTTCTGCATCAAAACCACTGGAGAATAAAGCAGATCCCAAGGAACACCGGCTAAGGACGCCTCACCAACCACATGAAACAGAATTCAAGAGGCCAGAGAATTCCTCAAGACAAGAGAATATTCCTCAAGCAAGAAAACACAGGGGCACCTGGGTGGCTCAGTGGGTTAAGCCTCTGCCTTCAGCTCAGGTCATGATCCTGGGGTCCTGGGATCGAGCCCCACATCAGGCTCTCTGCCCAGCAGGGAGCCGCTTCCCTTCCTCTCTTTGCCTGCCTCTCTGCCTACTTGTGATCTGTCAAATAAATAAATAAAAAATCTTCAAAAAAAAAAAAAAAGAAAGAAAGAAAGAAAGAAAACACATACTTCAGCTGTGCAGAGAGAAAGCTGATTTGGTACCTTGATTTCCCAACCAAGAAGCTGCCTCAACTGCTCCCTCAGTGGCGTGCTTAGCGCACGTCAGGAGCAGCGGTGGGGTTGGGGGGGTGGGGTGGGGGAGCACTCTCCCCACTCAGATGTGTGCCCAGGGGACGGCTCTCACTCTCCTGCCTGGCACTTGCTTGAACTGCCCCAATTCATGGAACTAAAGTAAATGAGCATTAAAAATTAAAGTCAATAAAATGAAGGGACCCAGAGAAATCAATCCAGTCACGTGCCTCTCCTGACCATGGCTCTGTTCACAGTCCAAGATTGCTTTGAAAAGGCAAGAACAGGAAGAACTGCCACCTGACCGATAGCCATCAGACCTACTTAATAGTGGTTTTTTGTTTGTTTTGTTTTTAAGGATTTCATTTATTTTTTTGACAGAGAGAGACACCATGAGACAGAGAACACAAGAGGGGGGAGTGGGAGATGGAAAAGCAGCCTTCCGTTGAGCAGAGTCCGATGTGGGGCTTGATCCCAGGACCCCGGGATCACGACCCGAGCCGAAGGCAGATGCTGAATGGCTGAGCCACCCAGGTGCCCCATTTAACCGTGTTTTTTAAGCTGCAGGTCAGAATGCAGCAGGTCACAGCGTCAACTTTGCGGGTTGCTACCATCGGTTTTAAAAAGTAAAGTCAAATAGAAAAGAGAAGATAATAGTGTGTTTTACAAAAAGTAAAAGTATTGTTTCATGAAATGTTATTTCTATGTGTATAGGGGCACCTGGGTGGCTCGGTCGATGGGCATCTGCCTTTGGCTGAGGTCATGATCCCAGGGTCCTGAGAGGGAGTCCCACATCTGGCTCTTTGCTCAGTGGGGAGCCTGTTTCTCCCTCTGTCCCTCCCCCTGCTCATGTTCTCTCTCTCTCTCTCAAATAAACAAATATTTTTAAAAAAATGTATATGTGTATATATATGTATTAGGCCCTGATACAAAGTTTTTTTTTTTAAGATTTTATTTATTTATTTATTTGACAGACAGAGATCACAAGTAGGCAGAGAGGCAGGCAGAGAGAGAGGAGGAAGCAGGCTCCCTGCCCAGCAGAGAGCCCGACGCAGGGCTCGATCCCAGCACCCTGGGATCATGACCTGAGCCGAAGGCAGAGGCTTTAACCCACTGAGCCACCCAGGCGCCCCCAAAATGTTATTTCTTAAGTAATCTCTATACCCAATGCGGGGCTCAAAGTCACAACCCCAAGATCAAGAGTAGCATGCTCTACCAACTGCGCCAGCAAGGGGACCCCAGTGAATGAAATTCTAGAAAATTCTGAAAGCCCACTGACGCACTAGAACCTGAACAAACCAGATCAGGCCAGAATATCGCAGAGAGATTATGTGTGACTCAAGTACTGACGAACTGTGAAGTTCACAGGTCAACCGAGCAGCCTCAGTTAATGAACAAGGATTACTGTCAGAGCTGCAGCTAACGTTGCACAAGAACGGGCTGGCATCCTGGACCTAAGGAGTGTGAGCCCTCAGTCTGAAAACACAGGGAAGCCACTGCTGAAACTCTACTCAGAGAAAATGTTGGCTTGTGCACACAGCCCCTCCAGCATTTATCAAGATAAAAGAAATCTGGTCTCTGGAAGGAAATGAGAGGACAGCTTCTAGTTCTGAAGTGTCAAAGGCCATAGGCACAACCAAAGGACTCATTCACTGACTGGGAGATCAGGCCTTTTAGAACAGGGTAGGTACAGAGGTTATAAGAAGAAACAAAACTTCCTAGTGCTGCTAAGCCAGCCCTTACTTCCTGGCACAGCTGTCAAGGTGACGGGACTCTCTGTTCTGAGCCGGTGTGCATTCTTTCCACTCCTGACCCCTGACACAGTCACATTCTTTGCTGATCCCCACTCGGTCTCATCACATTGCCTGGTCCCAGCTATAGAGCAGGACCCGGAGGCCTAGCACAAGAGCTGAATCCTTCCTCAGTGGAGATCTGAATACCAGATAGTTGATATGATCTCTTAGATGTGGGAGTAGATTTCAAGAGGGAAGCCAAGAAGATATCCTTTAAGATGACAGGATCTCTGTATCTCCTCACAATGAGCCTGACCTGTCCCCAGGTTGTCTTGTTCCTTAGAAAGCAGGAGACAAGATCTCTCCCCCAAAATAATAATGGCTAGGTCTAAGGAAAAACTCCCAAAGTCTTTACTCTGGCTCAACTCGAATAAGAGCATTGATAATCAATCCATCATCTTATCATTCCTTTTAGAAAGGGACGGCTGGAGGCAATTCTAGCAAGATCTCAGGTCCTGATCAAAATTACTCTGCAAAAGCCCAGTGGAGATGCACGGAGCTCAGGGGGCAGGGAGATAAGCGAACTGCTCAGGGTCCTGCCTGTGGTGTAGACTTGCTGCCAGGGCCTGTCTGTCACCTTCCTGGGTGATATGCTCTATCAGCTAATGCTCAGGGCCCAGAGCATTGCCAAACCGCTCTGTGAGAAAGCTCAAGCACAGGAAAAGCGTATGTCCGTGTGCAGCTGTTGAGAACGGTACCTGTAAGAGCGCGTGGTGCATCGTGACCTCCAGTTCAGCTAAAACAGGGGCGGCGTCCTCCCCATCCTCTTGGACCTCCAGGTCCTCCTCAGGGATGGTGTCCCAGTTGCCCTGGTGAGCAACCAGCGTGTGCACCAGCTCGTACTGGCCGGGGAGTGCCAGGCCGACCCGCGTCTGAGTCCCATAGGTGAAGCGGAGACGCCGGAGCTTACAGCTCTCCTCCCTGGCCGGCCTGGCGGTGGGAAGCACGTGCACCCCCAATAGCAGGTTCAGCAGCTGGCACTTGACATTGCAGTCCTGGCCGAGGATCAAGATGCAGGGAAGGCAGTCCACAACCTGCTGGAGGTACTTCTCTTCCTTAGGTGGGAAGGCGATGCAGCTCAGCTGGCCTGGTTGGAGAAGGGGAAGGTGGGGAAGGAGAAAGCAGTACAGAGAGACAGTGAGGACGGGCAGACAGAAACCCAGTCAGGATGCAGGGTCCTATAGAAGCAATTTCTAGGAAGCTCCTGGCTGGAAAAGAGACCAGGAAAATCTCTCTGTTGGAAAAGGTTCCTCAAATATCGAACAGGAGTCCCGTCCCTGGCTTGTCCCCAGAGCAGGTGTCTATACCTAGAAAGGCAGCAGGGACCTGATCCCTCCCTGCTCCTTTTTCATGCGGTGCAGGGCCAGCCCAAGGAGTACACCAGGACTTGGCCTTGGTCTTGAGATCCTTAAACTGGCAAAGCCAGAGAAGACTAACGAACTAGGATGTGAGTCCAAGGGGACACTGTACCTGAACATGTCAAAGTGAAGACCTTCGTGACAGAAAACCTAATACTTGCACACAGAAGGCCCTTGTAAATGTCTCTACCACGTGCCATGTTAGCTGTTACTTTCCTCATTTATGACATCTTTTATAACTAAATGTGTGAGCTAATCTTTGTGTGTGAGAAAGAGCTGATCTTTACACACGCGTACATCAAAATAAATTGTTATTCAAGTCTGCTTAGTTCTAGAATCTTTTCCAGTTCGTCTCTCTGATGGCTGCTGACAGCATCCCAGCTGCCGCATCTGTTCTCCTATAACTTCGGGTGCTCGGTGAAGATCAGTAACTCCTGACCAAGGGCCATTGCTTCCGTTTACGGAGGACAAGGCCTTGAGTAAGACAAAGGGAAGAACTCCCTGTCAGGAGACAGTCCGGGTACATCTAGGAGGAATGTGATCGGTCTCACAAACATCCACTCAGGACAACCACACTCACGTAAATGGCGAGCTTCCACAAACACAGCAGGCAGCGTTCAAGAGAGAACAAAAAGCTTCCTAAAGGAGGAGAAACTTCTGTCTGTGTAATTCACTGACCTGCACCTCTCGGATTCAGAACGCAATCATTCCCAACCAGCTCCCTGTCTGTGACTCAGGCAACCCCTGAGTTTGCTCAGAAAGGCACAGCCACAGCGGTTCTTAGGCTAGAAGAAGGCTGATCTCTGGGCCAAATACATCTTTACTGAAAGGCTGTGTGACACCAACTGAAAAGTACTCCCCTTCAGTCACGTCACTGTGAGCTGTTAAGCCATTCGTAAGCTGTTTACTTCGTTCACCGGAGGGAGTCTGATTTAAGGGGCTCTTCTGCTTCAGCCTGGATCTATTCTGTAACAAGTCCTCAAACCCCCTTCTCTTCCACAAATGGCGCCACCAAAAGTTTTCAAGAAGGTTTTGCTTTTGCCCGAAGTCCTCTCCATGCTTTTCATTAAAGCCCTTCCTTTCATGTGTGTCTGTGAGTCCAACACCGGGCCTGCATGTGCACATCAGGACACCGAGACAAGAAAATCGAGCCTCCCGGAAAAGAGATGGGCTCCTGGGAAAAAGCAAGGGGTCGTAACAGAGTGCCTAACTGTGTGCAAGGCATGTACCAAACCCAAGCGTAACACACAAGACCACTGGTCCAATCTTTGATCCACAATCTAAAACCAAGCAGAGAGGGGCGCCCGGCTGGCTCAGTCGGTAGACCACGCAATTCTTGATCTTGGGGTTGTGAGCTGAGGTCATTTCAAAATAAAATCTTTTTTTTTTTTTAAGATTTTATTTATTTATTTGACAAACAGAGATCACAAGCAGGCAGAGAGGCAGGCAGAGAGAGAGAGAGAGAGGAGGAAGCAGGCTCCCTGCTGAGCAGAGAGCCTGATGTGGGACTCGATCCCAGGACCCTGAGATCATGACCCGAGCTGAAGGCAGAGGTTTAACCCACTGAGCCACCCAGGCGCCCTCAAAATAAAATCTTTAAAATAAACAAAAGCGAGGGGACAACGCCGACAGCTTGTATGTTGACTGAGCAAGTAACCCGGTCTAGTCCTTAGTCCCTTCATATCTGGTTCACAACTCAACACTTATTGCAGTCTAATCTGGTCATCTGTTTATAATGTCAAAAGCAGTAAGGACCATCAAATTTCTCTGTACCCTGGACACCTAACACAGTGACTGACACTGAGCAAGTACTCAGGTTGCTCACTGGTTTGCTCTGTGTAAGAACCATTTACTGTAGAAAATTATCTACGGAAAGCTGTAAGTAGTTCCACTGAGTTCTCAGAGACGTCTAGGGGCAAAACCATCGTCCCTAAAAGCCTTCATCTCAATGCAGAGAGTGGACACGGACAACAGAACAGGACCTCCCCCAGCACCTCACAGAATTTAACTACAACTATGCCAGCCTGAGCTGTGGGGACAGATTCGCCAGCTAGAATCGCTCTCAGCCATACTTTCTATCCTTTCATCTTTTCCCAGTGCTGCTCGGAAGCTCAGAGGGACATCCAGGTGTAAGCCCACGCTGATGACCTTCATAACTCCTACAGCAAAAGTTGACACGTAAGAAAAAACGAAACCTAAGTGAGCGTGGAGAGTGGATAGCTGAGAACTAAAACCAACTCATCGCTTTTCAGGACCAGAGGGCGAGATCACAAAACCTCTGAGGCTAAGCCTCAACTCTAGGAAAGCCAGTAAAACATGCTGCCTCAGCCAAAGCCGCAGCAGACACACCCCATTAATCATCTGACCCAAATGATCACCCTCCCCTCCATCTCTGTAGTGACAAAAACAGCCACTGCAAATACACCAGCTGGGTTCAAATCACCATAGACCAGTGCAATGGGACAGGAGTGCACTCCACTCAGGTTCTCCGGGCAACGAGTGGACTGAAGAAAATCCTCAGTATGGGTATCGCCATCTGTTTTTCAATATGTCACTATTCAAGCCTTTCACTTCTGCCACCGGTCTTTAGTTTTCCACTGATTTCCGACATAGGTCTACCAGATTTGAACAAGGGCACGGATGGGACAGAAACAAAGTCAGTGCTAGATCGCTTCCATCCTTGTCTCTCCCGGGAGGGGTGCAGCAAGCAAGAGGAAAAGCAGGGAGGGGGGCAGAGATTGTGACTCCCAGGCTCCACTCCTCACTAGCTGTGACTTTGGCAATTCACTTGCGTTTTCTCAGCCTTGGATTTCTCATCTGTGAACTTAGGGAAGGGCATGACATCATTGTTAACATCTTTCCAGTTCTAAAATTCCAAGACGCCATCAGGTTTTAACTGGTGCAAGACACACCACTGAGGGGGATGAGTGGTTGGGCTGGTTGTTTTCAATCTTAAATTATCTGTGAATTTAATCTGCAAGCTTTCCCTGGACTATTTTAACAGCAGATCCAAAAGCTGACTGAACTAGCCAGGGGCTCGGAGGACCTACAGAGTGCGGTCTCAGCAGCTCTCTAAAGGAAGAGATTCCAAAGGGTGGCCTGACAGTAGGAGGGAGGAAGAAAACCTGCTTCAGAGCTGGAGCAGCTGCCTCACTGACAGTTTAAGGACTTCCGAGTTAATCGAGTTTTCTTTCATAATTAATCTAACAGCATCTGCATCTGGGGCCGCCAGAAGGGACCGGCAGGGCGTCTCAGCGGGAGCCCATTAACCCCGCCAACACCAGCCACAGGCAAATTCAACTCACATTGTCTTAAGTGCAAGCCAAGGTTCTTATTTTGATTTATGTATTTTTTGATGCTTCTTAAATACAGATCATCTTGGTTAGGGTTACTTCTAAACAAAGGTTTCCAACTAAAAGAGGGAGGAGGAAAGCATCTATAGTAGCAACCCATTCTGTTTGTTTTCCATCACAAACGGGAGCAAAATACATCCCCAAATATGCCTCTTTGGCTTGCTATTTTAAGCTGGTTATTTTTAAATAAACAGCAGATGCAGGTGAAACTCTGAAAACTGAGCACAAGTTACCCTTTCGTAGGAAACATTTACACTTAGAGCAGTACAAGGGAAATGTACCAGGAAGAGAAAGAGGAGTCTAAATCTCTAGAAACCCTTGCTAAGATTTTATTTGACAGAGATCACAAGTAGGCAGAGAGGTAGGCGGCATATGGGGGGGGGATGGGGAGGCAGGCTCCCTGCTGAGCAGAGAGCCGGATGTGGGGCTCGATCCCAAGACCATGAGATCAAGACCTGAGCTAAAGGCAGAGGCTTAACCCACTGAGCCGCCCTCGCGCACTAGAAACCATTATCTTAATGCAGACCATTTACCCCTGTTCACAGCAGTCCTCCTGATAACCTCCCGTAACTGACTCCCCACCCCCAACATCTCTGTCTTCAGCTGAAGATGATGTTTAAGGTGGTGGCATGGGCCTTTCTGGAGGGTTTTTCCTGGAGGAAAAACATGCATATAAGAGGGATACACGTTATTAAACTTGTTTGTTTTTCTCCTGTTAATGTGTCTTTTTATCACAGGGGTGTTGTGGCTAAGGAACTGGAAGGACAAATGAAAAACTATTTTCCTCCCCACAGTTCTATTTACTTAGCTCTTTCTAAGTACATCCCTTAATTGGCTTCATCTCATTTAATGCTCGCAATTCTACCCAACGAGGACTATTATTATCCCCATTTACAGATGAGGAACCAGCAGCTTGAAAAACAAAACATAACAGAGCCATGTTTCTCCATTTATCTAAGCAGATGAGAGACGGAGCACAGCACAGTGCAGGAGCTGGGCCGAGGTCTCGGGGGCCCAGCTCAACGCCTACGGGTAAACAGGCCCGTGAAGAGCCAAAGAATATGCCGTCCCAAAGGGTATTTTGAGCTCAACGGACTGGACACACAATGCTATAAGACGGGCATTCTCACCTCCTCCCCCTTTTCTTCCCGAAAGCAGGAGATAAAAACCCCCATCTGGATGGTGAACTCCCTATACCAGAAGTAAAGCAACACTCTTATCATCAGAGACCTGGGGTAGGGGCCAAAAAAATCAGCACAAATAAGGCTTGTTAAACTAACCCTTATCTTCCTGCCACTTTTCCACCACTAACTGCCTTACCCCAAGCCCCTCTGTCTTGTCACATTTTCATAACTTACTTCTCTTTGCCCATCCAA